TTTCTTTTTTATTGAATTCAAATGAATAAAAACACATTTTTCTAAAATATTTCTCAATTTACATTTTAAAGTTTTTTCTGAAACTTGAATGTAACTCTGTGCGGAGAATGAGAGAATTGAAAATCAGGTGATCTCAGCTGTTTTCAAATGTAAACAAACAAAATGGCGCTTTCCATACTTGTAAGCCTATACAATGGTTTATATGCGAGAAAATTCTTTTATGAGTGAGGAAAATATTTGAAAGACAAATAAAATATTTGTAATATTCATATGTGATTGCAGTATACAAAAATTCACAAGTATAATGAGAAACAAGTACAAACAACATTTGAAAACAAACAAATAAGAAACGGCTTATTCTTATTTGCCAAAAAAAAAAACTAAATGTCAGCGGTATGGACAATATTTTAGCGATTGGAAAATCCTTGTACAAGGTTTTCTTTGTTTCTATTGAAAATGCTAACAAAAGTGTGCGCAGTTGTAAACTCAGGGTATTCGGGTATTCATTCCCAGGATTCCAAGTTCCTTTTGACTTTTTGGAAAATGAGATTTTCGAAAATATCCAAGCAAGTGTCAAAGTAAAGTCTATCTCTCGTATTACCAGGAGGGATCCTGTTAGGTTGGTTAGGTTGGAGTGGCAGCCCCGCGCAGAGCGCGGTTCACACGTGGGCTCTTGTGATGCCATTGGCCTAAGCCATTTGTTTCTTTCCCTTCCTTAGTAATTGAACCACCGAGTGCGTTTTATATAGCACAAAAAGTCGAGGACGTTCGCCGAGTTCAAATCGGCTAAACAATCTAGAAAGTTCTTGTTGAAGAATCGGGTGCGCGTGTTGACCAAGGCGGGACAATGACAAAGATAGTGTTCAACGGTCTCCACCTCTTCCTCGTGACTGCAACTGCGACAAAAATCGTTGGTGGGGTATCCTAGCCTTTTTCCGTGTGTGCCCATCAGGCTGTGTCCGGTGATTACCCCGACTGCTAAACTGAGAGAGGAGCGGTCCAGCCGGATAAAAGCTATGGATCGCTTTACATCAACCTTTGGCCAAATTTGCCTGGTAGTATGGCAGGTGGTTTTCACAGCCCACCTGAAATTTACCTCCTGGACGAGTTTCGCCTTTAGTCTGTGTTTGCAGGAGGTTAGAGGTATGCCCGCATTCTGAGCAGAATTGACTTCAGATATTTCCATCCCCCTCCTTGCCAGCTTGTCGGCTAGGCAGTTGCCAGGAATGTCCCTATGTCCAGGGACCCATACAACAGTCAAGGAGCATTTTGATGCCAGCAGGGTGAGAATCTTCCTGCATTCTATGGCTACTTTGGACATTGTTCCGTTAGAATTGAGAGATTTGATAGCAGCCTGGCTGTCAGAATAGATAGCAATAGGCCGTCCTGGAGGGGCGGAGGTTATGACCCACCGTGCCGACTCCATTATGGCGTTTAATTCTGCTTGAAAACCACTACAATGGTCCGGTAAGCGAAAACTGAGGTTTAGCGCGAGCTCGTCAGAGTAGATCCCGCTACCCATTCTTTTGTTAAGCTTGGAACCATCTGTATATATGGCCGTAGACCCTGGGNCCGTGCCGACTCCATTATGGCGTTTAATTCTGCTTGAAAACCACTACAATGGTCCGGTAAGCGAAAACTGAGGTTTAGCGCGAGCTCGTCAGAGTAGATCCCGCTAACCACTCTTTTGTTAAGCTTGGAACCATCTGTATATATGGCCGTAGACCCTGGGTTCAGGTCTGTGGCCCCTTCCCATTCGTTCCTCTCTGGGATTCTTGTGGAGAATTTGTTGTCTAAACAGAGT